TGTGTGTGTGTGTGTGTGTGTATTTGTTTTTTTTGTTGGTTTATTGTCAGTCCTGGACTTGAACTCAGGGCCTGTCTCTGAGCATTTTTGGCTCAAGGCTAGTGCTCTACCACTTTGGGCCACAGCACCACTTTGGGTTTTCTGGTGATTAATTGGAGATAAGAGCCTCACAGACTTTCCTGCCTGGGCTGGCTTTGAACCGTGATCTTAAGATCTCAGCCTCCAAAGTAGCTAGGATGACCCTCGTGAGCATGAGCATGTATTAGTGGATGACAAGGGGAAGGTCTTGTATGTTTTGAAAGTAATAAGCATCTACATACAGTATATATTTTTCCCATGTATTATTTTAGGCGTTCTCACTACTTCTTAACAGTAGCCAACATTTCTGCACACTATTTCACAAAGACCCTAATCAATATTCAGAGTTAGTTAAAAGTCACCATTCTTCACTTCTTCACCTTCCTTTTCTCTTTCAGTGCCGCATCCTTGCTCCATTGGCTCCGGACCACTGAAACATGCCTCCAGCTCATTTTGACAAAACAATTATACATTCAAGCATTTGAATGATGCAGCCATTCCATGAGAACCCTCTCCCCAGTCACTGTGGCTGACGCTTCTTTCCCCGGGGGGGGGGGGCAAGGGGCGGCTGGGAACCTGGGAGTGAATAACTAAGGCAGGGAATGGATGGATCCTGGCAAGATGAGGTGAAGCCCGGGAAATCTCCCACTGGCCTGGGCCCAACCCTCCCTTCTGGGCATGCACACACCTTGCGTGGCTAGCAGGTACTCCACACACCCAAGCTGACATCACCACCATCCACCCAGGGCCACAGCACTCATTCCTGAGTCCTTCCCAGCCTGCCTCTCCCTCTCCAGGCTCACGAGCTATTCCCACCCTTGACCACAGTCACGTCTGCTCATCCTCATTGCCACTTTCTTAACACAGAGCCACGGCGTCTCTCACCTGGATTCTCTCTCTTTTTTAAAATTTTATTGCCAAGGTGATGTACAGAGGGGTTACAGCTGCATAAGTCAGGTGATGAGCACATTTCTTTTTGAACAGTGTCACTCCCTCCCTCATTTTCTCCCACTTTTTCTCCTTCCAATCCCCTCTCCTCCCCCCCTTGTAAAGTTCATTTCCAACATAGTGTCAAGTGAGTATCGCTGTTGAATTGGTTCACCCCGACCCCACCATTTCTGTGATTCCCCTTCCCTCCCCCAAATCAGATAACCTTATATGCCAGAGAAATGGTACCAAAATGAAAAACAGTGACAACAGGGGATAAACCAAAGGGGGGGGATGAAAGAAATAAAGAAAAAACTGCAATTAGTACACACACACACACACACAAAACACCTCTTGTTTCCATATTTTGGAGTTCATTTCAATTAGCATCATTTTATATGGTCATGTGTACATAGCTATTGAGCTATTGTTATCCTCTTCTAGGACTATCCTAGACATATACTAATCATTACAAATGAGGGAAACCATGGAACCTATGTTTCTTTGAGTCTGCTTACTTCACTTAACATGATTTCTTCCAAGTCTTTCCATTTCCTTACAAATGGGGCAATGCCATTCTTTCTGATGCAAGCACAGAATTCCATTGTGTATATAGACACCATACTTTCTTGATCCATTCATCTACTGAGGGGCATCTGAGTTGGCTCCATATCTCAGCTATGGTAAATGCTGCAGTGAACACGGTTGTGCTGGTAGCTTTAGTGTGGAATTGCTTGTGGTCATTTGGGTAAATGCCCTGGAGTAGGATTGCTGGGTCATAGGGGAGCTCTATGTTTAGCCTTTTGAGGAGCCTGCATACTGCTTTCCAGCGTGGTTGAACAAGTTTACACTCCCACCAAGAGTGTATTAGTGTTCCCTTTTGGCCACATCCCCACCAGCATCTATTATTACAGGTGTTCTTGATAATGGCCATTCTAACTGGGGTGAGGTGGAATCCCAATGTTGTTTTGATTTGCATTTCCTTTATGGCCAGAGATGTTGAACATGTCTTCATGTGTCTATTGGTCATTCTTATTTCTTCTTTGGAGAAGTCTTTTTTAGCCCACTTATTAGTGGGGTTGTTGTATACTTTAGATATGAGGCCTTCGTCTGATGGAAAGCTGGTTAAAGTCTTCTCCCACTCTGTGGCCTTTCTATGTATCTTGCTAGCTGTTTGCCTGGCAGAAACTTTCAGTCTGATGCGATCCCATTATTTACAGCCTTTCTTTGACTTGTGTTTCTGGGTCTTTACTTCGGAAGGAATGTGTTCTTAAAATGACATTAATTACAACTATTGGTAAGCGATATCCCTGAGAAATTACCTTATGAGAGCAAAAAGCGAACTTCTTCCACATACAGTCATTCTGCTTTCTCATTGAATTGCTAGTTGAGTCTTTAGAGGATGGTCATTTCCTTCTTCTAAGGCCAATCTATAGTCGTACAAAGTGTGTACTAGCTTTGTGGATCAATGCCACTGGAGCCTCGTATACTTTCTGTCCATTCTTTACACCTTATTACATGATTATTCGTAGGCATCAATCTCTCAACCAGAGCCTTGAGAAGAAGATGCTATTATTAGTCATAGTGTTCCAAAAAAGGAAAGCTGAGGCTTAATGATTTGCCCAAGTTACCAAGTTGCTGGGTGCTTGAGCTGGGCTGTACATATAGGAGATTGTGTGTGTGTGTGTGTGTGT